ATACGGAAACACAGTTGATTTTTTTGGTATATTGATTTTGAACCCTGTGACTTTACTGAATATGTTTATTCTGGTTTTTAAAAACCCATTCCTCACAAAGGATCATGCCCTCTGTGAATAAAGATAGTTTTAATTCTTTCCAATCTACAAGCCTATAATATTTATTTAGCAATTATTGCACTGGCTAGAACCTCCAGTATGAGTAGAATGGCAAGAGTCAACATTCTTGCCTTGTTCCTGATTTTAGGAGGGGAAAGTATTCAATCTTTCACCATTAAGTATGATGTTAGTGTTTTTTTTTTTTTTTTTATAGATGCCCTTTATCAGGTTGAGGAAATTCCTTTCTTTTCATAGTTTGTTGAGAATTTTTATTTAGAATGGGTGTTGAATTTTACCAAATGTTTTTTTCTGCATCTATTGAGATGATCATGTGGGTTTTGCCCTTTATTCTATTAATATGGTATATTACATTAATTGATTTGGATGGTAAACTAACTTGGCACTCCTGAGGCAAATCCCACCTGGCTGTGATGTATAATTTTTTGTAATATGTTGCTGGATTTGGTTTGCTAATATTTGCTAAGAATTTTTGCATCTGTGTTCATGAGGGATATTGGTCTGTAGTTTTCCTTTCTTGTGATGTCTTTGTTTGCTTTGGTATCAGGATAATACTGGCCTCAGAGAATGAATTGGAAAATGTTTTCTGTTTTCTGAGTTTGTGAAAGACTGGTATTTCTTCTTTCAGATATTGATAAGAAAATTCATCAACGAAGACTTCCAGGACTGGGCTTTTCTTTCTGGGAAGATCTTTAATTATTAGCTTGATTTCTTCACTTGTTATTGTCTATTCAGATTTTCTGTTTCTTCTCAAGTCAGTTTTTGTAAATGGTGTCTTTCTAAGAATTTGTTCATTTTATTTAAGTTGTCTTATTGGCATAAAGTTGTTTATAATATTCCTTTATAATTCTTTTAATTTCAGAAGGATCACTAGCAAGATCTCTTTCGTTCCTGATTTTGGAAATTTGTGTCTCTTGTTTGTCGATTTTTGTTGATCTTTTCAAATAACTAATTTTGGGTTTTATTAATTTTTATTTATTGCTTTTTGTTTTCTGTTTCATTAGTTACCACTCTCATCTTTATTTTTTACTCCAGTGTGCTTGATTTGGGTTTAGTTCTTTCTTTTCCACTTTCTTAGGATGGAAGTTTAAGTTATTGATCCAGACCTGTTACTCTGGTGACTTACCTATTTCTTCTTTTGTTTACTTCTGTCAATTTTTAAGATAATTAATCATGGTTCTTTATTCAAATTTATAAATATTTACCACGGCCTCATAGTGTGTATCTTCTGACTTCTCCTCTAAGTTCACTCTCTGTAATGTTCATCATGCCCAGGATGCTGGCCTCTAGGAACTGCTCTCTTGCTAGGGTGATCAACCCTCCTGGTTTGACCAGGACATTTCCATGGTTTTAAATTAAAAAAAAAAAAACAAACACGTTAATTGAAGTATAGTGGACATATATTAAGTTAGTTCCAGTTGTATACACAGTGATTGAATTACATACATTACAAAATGCTCACTACAGTAAGTGTATTACCACATTATTGTCTATATTCCCTATGCTGTGCTTTTTATCCTCATGACCTACTTATTTTATAAGTGGAAGTCTGTATCTCTTAATTCCTTTCACTCATTTTACCCATCACTCCACCCCCCTCCCTCCTTCTGTCAATTTTTGCTTTACGTATTTGGGAGCTGTTTTTAGGTGTGTATACATTAATAATAGTTAGACAAATTCCTGACAAATTGATATGTTAATAATTATAAATGTTCCTCTTTGTTTCTAGTGATATTTATCTCAATGTATATATTTAACAATATTAATACAGCCACTCTAGCTCTCTTATGGTTACTATTTATATGGGATATGTTTTTCCATACTTTTACTTTTTTTTTTAAGTTTTATTTTTTTATTTTATTTTATTTTAAAGATTATTTATTTGAGAGCGCGAGAATGAGAGAGAGTACATGAGAGGGGGGAGGGTCAGAGGGAGAAGCAGGCTCCTCGCTGAGCAGGGAGCCCGATGCGGGACTCGATCCTGGGACTCCAGGATCATGACCTGAGCTGAAGGCAGTCGCTTAGCCAACTGAGCCACCCAGGCGCCCCTAAGTTTTATTTTTTTTAAGTAATCTCTATACCCAAAGTGGGGCTTGAACTTACAACCAGAGGATCAAGAATTGCATGCTCTACTGACTGAGCAGGCAGGCATCTCATACTTTTACCTTTAACCTATTTATGTCTCTTAAAAAAAAAAAAAAGATTTATTTATTTTAGAGAGAAAGCATGAGTGAATGTGGGAGGGGCGGAGGGAGAATCTCAAGCCGACTCCTTGCTGAGTGCAGAGCTGGAAGGGGGGATGGGGGTGGGCTCGATCTCATGACCCTGAGATCACGACCTGAGCAGAACAAAATCAAGAGTTGGATGTCCAACTGACTAAGCCACCCAGGCACCCTCAATTTGTCTTTTTTTCCCCCAATTTATGTCTTTGAATCTAAAGTGTGTTTCTTAGACCACACAGAGTTGGATTTTGTTTTTTTTTTTTTTTTTTTTTTTTTTTTTTTAAAGATTTTATTTATTTATTTGAGACAGAGAGTGAGAGAGAGAGAGAGCACAAGAGGGGGGAGCGGGAGAGGGAGAAGCAGACTCCCTGCCGAGCAGGGAGCCCGATGCGGGACTCGATCCAGGGACTCCAGGATCATGACCTGAGCCGAAGGCAGTCGCCCAACCAACTGAGCCACCCAGGCGCCCTGGATTTTGTTTTTTATCCACTCTGACAGTCTCTCTCTTTTTTAAGATTTTATTTATTTATTTGTCAGAGAAAGACTGCACAAGACCACAAAAGCAGGGGGAGTGGCAGGCAGAGGGAGAAGCAGGCTCCCCGCTGAGCAAGGAGCCCAAAGCCGAAGCCGGACTCGATCCCACCCAGGCATCCCAGTCTCTGCTTTTTGATTAGAGTGTTTAGTCCTTCCAAATCTAATGTAATTAATAATAAGAATTTGTCCATTTGTTCCTCCTTTACTGACTTCTTTTGTGTTAGTAAGCCATTTTAATTCCACTGTTGTTTTTACCATATATTTATTCTTTTAAAAAAATTATGGTGGGCGCCTGGGTGGCTCAGTTGTTAAGCAACTGCCTTCGGCTCAGGTCATGGTCCCAGGGTCCTGGGATCGAGTCCCATATCGGGCTCTCTCCTCTGCGGGAAGCCTGCTTCTCCCTCTCCCACTCCCCCTTGCTTGTGTTCCCTCTCTCACCGTGTCTCTCTCTGTCAAATAAATAAATAAAATCTTTAAAAAAAAAAATTATGGTAAAATGTAATTATCTTAAGTGTACATTTTAAGTAGTGTTAGGAATATTCTGGGGTTCCTGGCTGGCTCAGTCAGGTGAGCATGCAACTTTTGATCTTGGGATCATGAGTTCAAGTCCCACATTGGGCTACTTAAAAAAAAAAAAAAAAGACTATTTCCATTGTTATGCTTAACAGATAGATCACCAGAGCTTTTTATTTATTTATTTTTATTTTTTTTAAAGATTTTATTTATTTATTTAATTGACAGAGAGAGACAGTGTGAGAGGGAACGCAAGCAGGGTGAGTGGGAGAGGGAGAAGCAGGCTTCCCGCAAAGCGGGGAGCCCAATGCAGGGCTCGATCCCAGGACCCTGGGATCATGACCTGAGCCAAAGGCAGTCGCTTAACCAACTGAGTCACCCAGGCTCCCCTCACCAGAGCTTTTTTTTTTTTTTTTAAAGATTTTATTTATTTATTTGACAGAGAGAGACACAGCGAGAGAGGGAATACAAGCAGGGGGAGTGGGAGAGGGAGAAGCAGGCTTCCCGCTGAGCAGGGAGCCTGATGTGGGGCTCGATCCCAGGACCTGGAATCGTGACCTGAGCCAAAGGCAGACGCTTAATGACTGAGCCACCCCGGCGCCCTCACCAGAGCTTTTTAATCAGAACTGAAACTCTATACTCATTAAGCAAGCACTCCCTACTTCCCCCTCTCCCAGCCCCTGGTGACCACCGTTCTACATTCTTTTCCATGAATTTAACTTCTTTAGACATGTCATATAAATGAAATCATGTAGTATTTGTCTTTTTCTGACTTGTTTATTTCACTAAGCATAATGTCCTCAAGGTTCATCCATGTTGTAGCATGTGTCAGGATCCATGTAACAGTTTTTCTGAATACTCCATTGTATGTATATACCACATTTTGTTTATCCATTCATCAGTCAATGGACATTTGGGTTGCTTCCATATCTTGACTATTGTGAATAATGCTGCTATGAATATAGATGTGCAATATCTCTTCAAGAGCCTGCTTTTAATTCTTTTGAATATATACCTAGACTTGGGATTGTTGGATCATACGGTAATTCTATTTTTAATTTTTTTGAGGGACTACCACACTGTTTTTCATAGTGGTTGCACCATTTATAATCTCACCAACCATGCACAAGGATTCTAATTTCTCCACATCCTCATCAATACTGTTTTCTGCTTGGTTTTTGTTTTTTTGATAGAAGTTATCCTAATTGTTGTGAGGTGATATCTCGTGGTTCACTCTGCATTTCTCTAATCATTAGTGATGTTGAGCATCTTTTCATATGCTTGTTGGCCCTTTGTCTATAATCTTCAGAGAAGTATCTATTCAAGCCATATACCCATTTTAAAATCAAGTTATTTGGGTTTTTGTTGTTGAATTATAGAAGTTCTTTATATATTCTGCATATTAACCCTTCATTAGATCATTTTCTTGGTGGTTCTAGAGATTACATTATAGTCTATTTGAGAGCACTGAATCCTAACCACTAGACCATCAGGGATATTTGAGATTAATATAGATCACTTTTTCTTCCCCTTACTTTGTGTAGTTGTAATATTTATTACATTTATATATGCCACAAACCCCCAAATACAAAGATATAATTATTGCTTTATGCAATCTTTTAATTTTTTTATTCAACTATTTTTTTTTTTAATTGAAGTATAGTTAGGCTGTCCATTTCTGTATCAGTTAGGAAGGATGCTGGGTTTGAGGTTGGTGTTGAGGACAACAACTACCATGACTTCCAGTGCTTTGATGAAACCTCAGATGTGAGGCCCTCTGGCCAAGTGATTATGATTTCATACTGTTGGAGTGTTTGCTGTATCCCTGGGGGTTGCAGCTTTCTATAAGTTTGTTGTGGCTAAACCAAGAAAGAAGGCATATGCAGATTTCTACAGAAATTATGATTCCATGAAAGATTTTGAGGAGATGAAGAAGGCTGGTATCTTTCAGAGTGCCAAGTGATTTTGGAATGTAAAGAATTTCTTTGGGTTGAGTTCCATTGAAGTTTGTCACTGACCTGTGTTCCTGAACTATGAAACATGAATATTGTGTTATGGAATAGTTTCTCTTGATAAATAAACAACTACCAAATTAAAAAAAAATTGTAGTTAACATACAATATGTTTTATGCAATCTTATCCATATATTTACCTTTTTTTTTTTTTAAAGATTTTATTTATTTATTTGAGAGAGAGTGAGATAGAGAGAGCATGAGAGGGGGGAGGGTCAGAGGGAGAAGCAGGTTCCCTGCTGAGCAGGGAGCCCGATGCGGGACTCGATCCAGGGACTCCAGGATCATGACCTGAGCCGAAGGCAGTCGCTTAACCAACTGAGCCACCCAGGCGCCCCCATATATTTACCTTTTTAAATGCCTGTTTCTTTGTGCAGATTCAAATTACTGTCTGGAATCATTTCTTTATATCTTGAATGATTACCTTTAATATTTCTTGTAAGGTAGGTCTTCTAGCAATAAATTCTTGAGGTCTTTTTCCTGGGAATGTCTTTATTTCATCTTTGTTTTTTTGTTTTGTTTTGTTTTTTAAGATTTTATTTTTGGGGAGCTTGGGTGGCTCAGTCAGTTAAGCATCTGACTCTTGATCTCACCTCAGGTCTTGATCTCAGGATCGTAAGTTCAAGCCCCATGTTGGGCTCCACATCCAGCATGAAGCCTACTTAGAAAAAAAAATGTTATTTTTTTAAAGTAATCTCTACACCCAGTGTGAGGCTTGAACTCACAACCCTGAGATCAAGAGTCACATGCTGTACCGACTGGGCCAGCTAGGCAACACTCATATTTGTTTTAAGGATAGTTTTGCTGGATATAGGATTCTTGTTTGACAGGTTTTGGGTTTTTGGTTTTTTTTCCTTGTAACACTTTGAATATATCAGCCCACTGCGTTCTGGTTTCCATTGCTGTTATTTGTCATTTGGTTTTTGTTTTGTTGTTCCTCTATATGTGATGAGTTCTCCTAGCTCCTTTCAAGATTTTCTCTTTGTATTTCAACAGGTTGGCTATAATGTATCTAGGTATAGCTCTCTTTGATCTGAGCTTCTTAGATCTACAGATTGTTGTGCATCATATTTGGGGAGTTTTTAGCCATTATATCTTCAAATATTTTTTTCTGCCCCTTTTCCTCTCTTCTGTTTCTGGCATTCTCAACACACATAAATTGGCATACCTGATGTTGCATGGGTCTCTGAGGCTCTGTTCTTCACATTGGATGATTTCTATTGCTCTATCTTCAAGTTTACAGATTATTTCTTCTGCCTTCTTGAATCTACTGTTTAGTCCACTAGTTAATTTTTCATCTGTTATTGTACTTTTCAACTCCAGATTTTTAAAAATTGTGGTAAATATAACATAACATAAACTTTACCATTTTAACAGTTTTTAAGTGTAGAGTTCAGTGGCATTAAGTATATTCACATTGTTATGCAGCCATCCCCACTATCCATCTCCAGAACTTTTTCATTATCCCTAACTGAAATCCTGTACCCCTAAAATGGTAACTCCCCATTTTCTCCTCCCTTCAGCATCTGGTAAGCACTTTTCGACTTTGTCTCTGTGAATTTGACAATTCTAGATACCCCATATAAGTGGAATCATACAATATTTCCTGTTTTGTGTTTGGAGTAATGTGTCCTTTAGCATAAATGTCTTCAAGGCTTATCACTATTATAGCATATATCAGAATTTTATTCAAAATTTACTTTAAAAATTTCTATAATAGCTGAAGTCTTTATCTGTTAAGTTTAACATCTGGACCTACACAGAAACAGTTTCTATTGTCTATTTTTTTTTTTTTCTTCTGAGCTGAGGATGGGTTATGCTTTCCTGTTTCTTTGAATGTCTCATAATTTTTTGTACGTTTTTTATAATATAGCAACTATGGATTCTGACTTTCTCCCCAAAGGTTTTTGGGTTTTTTTTAATAACTTGACTAGACTAAATCTGTGGATTCTGTTTCCCCTATGGTATGCAGAAGCTAAAGTCTCTGCTCAGTTTTTCTTTTAGAAAATTCTTGTTTTGGTGCACCTGGATGGCTCAGTTGGTTAAGTGTCTGCCTTCAGCTCAGGTCATAATCCCAGGGTCCTAGGATCCAGCCCTGCAGCTGGCTCTCTGCTCAGCAGGGAGCCCGCTTCTCCCTCTCTCTCTGCCTGCCACTTAGCCTGCTTGTGCGCTCTCTCTTTCTGTCAAATAAATAAAATCTCTTAAAAATATATAAAAATGCTTGTTTTGGGGGAGCCTAGGTGACTCAGTTGGTTAAGCGTCTGACTTTAGCTCAGGTCATGATCTCAGGGTCCTGGGATCAAGCCCCACATTGAGCTCCCCACTCAGTGGGGAGTCTGTTTGTCCTCCCTCTGTCCCTCCCCCTGCTTGTGCTTTGTCTCTCCCTCAAATAAATAAAATCTTTTCTTAAAAAAATTCTTGTTTTTATTTTTAAAAATTTATTTTAAAGTAATTTTTATACTCAATGTGAGGCTTGATAAAGTTGTATGCCCTCTGACTGAGCCGGCCAGGTGCCCCACTCATTCTTATTTTTAAGCCTAGCTTCATAGGTATCACCATTGTGACTAATGGTCAGCCAGTCACCTAATGGTCAGCCAAAGGTTTGGGCAGATGTTGTGCTCAAAGACCTTGTGCCACTAAGGCTTCCACCTTCTGTTAATTGTCTGTGTGTGCATGCGTGTGTGTGTGTTGGGGAGCATGGTATTAGTAGCTGGGGCCACTATTAAACCCCCACATTAAAAATTTAGGCAGTTTTTTAGTCTGCTCTGGCTTTTGCCTTCTGATGGGCCCTCTTGCATCTCCTCTAGACATGTGTATAAGTTCACAGCCAGTTAGTGATGTGGGGATAGATTGGGCCGTCTGGTCTTTCCTTCAGGGAGAGCTTATAAGGCCCCCTAGGACTGTCTTATTTCTCATATCTGTTAAATTTTTGGCTAGGCTGCTGGTCTGTTGTTTCCCACTGAGATTAATACTGTTACTGACAACACCACTGGATATGGAATATTTTTACCCAGACTTTAGCTTCATCCATGATTCATCCATTAGAATCCTTCTAGATATAGAAGAGATCTTAGGGATTTTTTCATTCAGTCTCTCCTTATGCACTCTAGGGAAACCAAGACTCCAGAAGGCCCTTGGGCTGCTCAAGACCCCACTGTAAGCACACCCAGACTTAGAGCTCAGCCTTTTCTGTCTTAGTCCATTGGGCTGCTATAACAAAACACCACAAACTGGATAGCTTATAAACAACAGAAATTTATTTTATTTTAAAGGTTTTATTTATTTTTTTGAGAGACAAAGCAGGCGGGGGGGGGGGGAAGCAGAGGGAATGAGACAGCAGACTCCCCACTGAGCACAGAGCCCAATGCGGGGCTTCATCCCACGACCCTGAGATCATGACCTGAGCTAAAATCAAGAGTCAGTCACTCAATTGACTGAGCCACCCAGGCGCCCCAAAAGAAATTTATTTCTAACAGTTCTGGAGGCTGGAAGTCCAAAATTAGGGTGCCACATGGTTGGATGAGGGCTCTCTTCTAGGTCACAGACTTCTTGTTATATCCTCCCATGGCCGAAGGGAGAAGGGATCTCTCTGGATCCTCTTTTATAAGGCACTGAGCCTATTCAGGAGGACTCTGTTCTCATGACTTAAGTACCTCCCAAAGGCCCCAGCTACTAATACCATCACCTATGGGAGTTGGGATTTCAACATAAATTGGGGGGGGGGATAAATATTCAGACCATAGCATTCTGTCTCTAGCTCTCAACATTCACGTCCTTATTACATGTAAAATAGCCTTTCCATCCCAACAACCCCAAAAGCCTTAACTCATTCCAGCATCAACTTAAAAGGCTAAAAGTCAAAGTCTCCTCTAAATAGCATTCAAGTCAGATATGTGTGAGACTCAAGGTATGATTCATCCTGAGGTAAATTCCCTTCCAGCTATGAACCTGTGAAATCAAACAAATTATGTACTTCCAAAATACAATGGTAGGAAGGCACAGGGTAGACATTACCACTCCAAAAGAAATAGAGAGAGGGACACCTGGGTGGCTCAGTTGGTTAAGTATCTGCGTTGGGCTCAGGTCATGATCCCAGGGTCCTGGGATCGAGTCCTGCTTCGGACTCCCTGCTCAGTGGGGAGCCTATTTCTCCCTCTGTCTGCTGCCCCCCTGCTTGTGCTCTCTCTCTCTGACAAATAAACAAAATCTTAAAAAAAAATAGAGAAGGAAGGGGTGACAGGTCCCAACCCAGTTCAAAACCCAACAAGGCAAATATTAAATCTTAAGGCTGAGAACCATCTTTAACTTGATGCTCTGCCACCACCTTCCAGGTAGGATATTTAAAGTGTATATTGTGGTGATTTGCTACACAGGTTACATTGTGAAGGATTCCTTCCATTTAGTCATTTAACACATCCATCACCTCACTATTGTTTTTGTGTGTGTGTGAGAACACAATTTCTACTGTCGAAACACATTTCCATTACACCATACAGTGTTATCAACCGTAGTCACCATTTTGTACACTAGACAAGTAGAGGTCTTGTCTTTCAGACACACTGGACCCCCTGGGGTATACCTGCCCCATGGCTTTGCTGGACACAGTCCACACAGCAGCTCTCCTGGGCTAGAATAAAATGTCAGCAGCACTACTGTGGAGTCTTCAGGAGGGGCCCCACTCCCACGGCTCTGCTGGGCAAGAGTCTGGTGCCCACAGATTTGGGTGGGGCTCAATATCTGGCCTATTAAAACCCAGGCAATGTGGTCCCTCCCCCACCCCAAACCTGCCTTTTGAAACTGAGGCAGCTCTGATGATCTCTGAATTGCCTTTAGGATCCTTCTTCTTTTTTTTTTTTTTAAGTAGACTATATGCCTGGTGTGGGGCTCAAATTCATGACCCTTAGATCAAGAGTCACATGCTCTACCAACTGAGGCAGGCACCCCAATCTTCTTCTCTTGTCTTAAAGAAAAGAGCATGTTAGAAGTTGAGTAGTTCTGTGATCCTATCCTGTAAAGTTTAAGAAGTACAACAATCTGGGGGGCGCCTGGGTGGCTCAGTCCTTGGGCATCTGCCTTCGGCTCAGGTCATGATCCCAGGGTCCTGGGATTGAGCCCCCCATCGGGCTCCCTGCTCCGCAGAGAGCTTGTTTCTCCCTCCCCCACTCCCCCTGTTGTGTTCCCTCTCTTGCTGTCTCTGTCAAATGAATAAATAAAACCTTAAAAAAAAAAAAGTACAACAATCTTCCTTCTTTCCTTCCAGTCTCTTCCCTGAAGTCCATGCTTCATACCTACGCTACTCTCCATATCAAAGGGTCACTTGGCCACACCCTTGTTTTCTTCAGAACATCCTTCCACATTTTTTGCAATAGGGATAGATGGAGCATTTTTCAAACCTTATGTTTCTGCTTCCCTTTTCACAATTCTGTCTTTAAGTCCCTTCTCTCTTCTCATATTTTACTAGAAAAACTCAAGAGAAGCCAAGCTGCACCTTCAATACTTTGCTTAGAAACAGCTTCAAACAAATACCCAATTTTATTGCTCACAAGTTATACCTTCCACAAAACACTGGAACATGAACACAATTCAGCCAAGTTCTTTGCCACTTTTTAACAAGGATCACCTTTCCTCGAGTTTCCCATAATACGTTCCTCATTTCTGTTGGAAACCCCATCAGAATGACCTTTAGCATCCATATTTCTATCAACATTGTTTGCCATCACTTCTGATTCTCTAAGCAGATGGAGGCTTTCTCTACAGCTCTCTTCCTCTTCTGAGCTCTCACCCAAATCACATTTAAAGGTCTGTTCAGGGCATGTAGGCTTTTTCTCTGAACCTCCAAACTCTTCCAAAGCCACCTGTACATTTTTAGATTTGTTACAGCTCCTCGCTCCTGGTATCATTTTTTAAAAAATTTAGCTTTATTGAGGCATAACTGACATACAAAATTGTAGGATATTTAAAGTATATATTGTGGTGATTTGCTACACAGGTTACATTGTGAAGGATTCCTTCCATTTAGTCATTTAACACATCCATCACCTCACTATTGTTTTTGTGTGTGTGTGAGAACACAATTTCTACTGTCGAAACACATTTCCATTACACCATACAGTGTTATCAACCATAGTCACCATTTTGTACACTAGATCCTCAGACCTCATTCATCTTATAGCTGAAAGTTTGTACTCTTTCCCCAACCTCTCCCTTCCCTGCCCCCCACCCCAGCCTCTGGCAATCACTTTTTCCCCTCTATTTGTATGAGTTTGAGGATTATTATTATTATTATTATTTTTTAGATTCCACATCCAAGTGATACCATATAGTATTTGTCTTTCTCTGTTTGGCTTATTTCATATAGCATCATGTCCTTAAAGTCCATCTGTGTTGTCACAAATGTCAGGATTCCCTTCTTTCTCACAGCTGAATAATATTCCATTATATATGTGTGTATCTCACATCTTCATTATCCATTCACCTGCTGATGGACACTTAGCTTGTTTCCATATGGTGGCTATTGTGAATAATTCTGTAATGTGGGAGTACAGATATCTCATCAACATTGTTTTCATTTCCTTTGGCTATATACCTGGAAGTGGGATTGCTGGATCACATGGTAGTTCTATTTTTAAATTTTTAAGGAAACTGCATGCTGTTTTCCATAGTGGCTGCACCAATTTACATTCCCACCAATAGTGCACAAGTGTTCCTTTTTTTCACATTCTCCCCAACACTTGTTATCTCTTGTCTTTGATGTTAGCCATTCTGACTGGTGTGAGGTGATATCTCATTGTGGTTTTGATTTGCATTTCCCTGATGATGAATGATGAACACATTTTCATGTACTTGTTGGCCATTTGTTGGTCATCTTTGGAAAAATGTTCAGTTCCTCTTTTTTTAAATCAGATTATTTATTTTGCTAGTGAGTTATGAGTTCTTTATATATTTAGGATATTAACCCTTTATCAGATGATTTGCAAATATTTTCTCCCATAGGTTGCCTTTTCATTCATTCTGTTGATGGTTTCCTTTGCTGTGCAGAAGCATGTTAATTTGATGTAGTCCCACTTGTTTATTTTTGCTTCTGTTGCCTTTGCTTTTGGTGTAAAATTCGAAGTACAACAAGACTGATGTCAAGGAACTTAGCCCCTGTGTTTTCTTCTAGGAGTTTATGGTTTCAGGTTTTACACTCAAGTTTCTGATCCATTTTGAGTTGATTTTTTTGTATGGTATAAGGGTCTGGTTTAACTCTTTTGCATGTGGCTGTCCAGTTTTCCCAACACCATTTATTGAAGAGACTATCATTTCACCCTTGTATATTCTGGGCTCCTTTGTTGTAAACTAATTGGCCTTGTATGCCTGGGGTTATTTCTGGGCTCTATTCTGTCCTATTGATCTATGTCTGTTTTTATGCCAATACCATAATGTTTTGATGACTGTAACTTTGTAATATAGTTTGAAATTAGGAAGTATGATGCCTCTAGCTTCATCTTTTTCAATATTACTTTGGCTATTTGGGGTCTTTTGTGGTTCCATGCAAATTTTAGAATTATTTGTTCTAGTTCTATGAAAAATGTCATTTTGGTAGAGTATTTTGATGGGGATTGCACTGAATCCATAGATTGCTTTGGGAGTATGGATATTTTAACAATACTGATTCTTCTAGTCGATGAACATAGAGTATCTTTTCATTTATTTGTGTCTTCTTAATTTCTTTCATCAGTGTCTGTCTTACAGTTTTCAGTGTATGGATCTTTCATCTCCTTGGTAAAATTGGTTCCTAGGTATTTTTTTTTTATTCACTCACAAATGGGATTTTCTTAACTTCTCTAATAGTTTGTTATTAGTGTATAGAAATGCAACTGATTTTTGTATATTGATTTTTGTATCCTACAACTTTACTGAACTCATTCTAGCAATTTCTTGGTTGAATCTTTATATATTTACACATAATTTTAGCTTTGACATGATATATATGTCATCTGCAAATAGAGTTTTACTTCTTCCTTTCCAGTTTACTTTCTTTCCAATTTAGATGCATTTTCTTTTTTGCCTCACTGCTCTGGCTAGGACTTCCAGTACTATGTTGAATAGAAGTGGCAAGAATGGGCATCCTTATCTTTTTTTCTGATCTTGGATCTTAGAAGAAAAGCTTTCAGCTTTACATTTTGAGTTTGGTGTTAGCTGTGGGCTTGTCCTACATGTCCTTTATTATGTTGAGGTCCGTTTCCCTCTATATCCAGCTGCTCCCACATTTTTAGGTTTGTTACAGCAGCACCCTTGTGGTCCAGTTTTTTTTTTAGTCCATTTGGACTGCCACAACAAAATGGAAGTCTGAGATTAGAATGCCAGCATGGTCAGGTGAGGGCTCTCTCCTGGGGCCCCTGACTTCATGTTGTATCCTCACATGATGAAAAAGGGAAGGGATTGGTCTGGATCCTCTTTAAGGCACTAATCCTATTCATGAAGGATTCATCCTTACGACTTAAGCACCACCCAAAAGCCCCACCTTCTAATATATCACTGGTGGGGGCTAGGATTTCAACACATCAATTTTGGGGGACAGAGCATAGCAGTCCTCATTGACATTTTGCATTGTGTCCATGGAACTAGTGTCTGGTGACAGTCCCTAGATTTCTGCTCAGGTAAGGCGGATGGTTCTCTGAAAGCTTTATGAGACTCCAGAGTGATGACAGATCCCATATCCTGTGAGCACGAGGAAGGGGTAGAGCATAGAGAACCCTAACATATATTGAGAATTTGCTACTAATGTCCATCGCTTGATTTGTGTTAACTAACTTAAGGTAATTTTTCAAAAAGCCCCTTTGAGTTCTTTATTATCCGTATTTCACAGATTAAGGAGGCAGGAACTTTCCAAAGAACAGGAATGAAGGACCAGATATTTGAACCCAGTTCAGGCTTATTCCAAAGTCTATGCTCGTTTAAATGGCTCTGAAAATACCCACCTGTGTTCACATGGACAAGAGTGTTCTGTTAGCTTTTTCCCAAGTTAGGGTCTGGATGTCCTTAGTCCTTTCTGTCCTCACCCCCAATCCTTCTTGCTCACTCCGACCAGTTGTAGATAAGAATGTTTGGGATTAGGCCCATCATTCAGCCATCTCTGAGCTCCAGTCTATTTCCTCCATAAGGTGCCCAATGGGCAGAGCCCACTGGCTGGTTCCAGGTCCTCTCAGAGCTGAGACACAATTATCCTCTCCCGACCCACCCTCCTTGCCCCCTGCAACCTCAGGGAATCTTGTTTTTGATTTTGCCTACTCAAACACTGCATTTATGAAGATGTCCTGTTCCCATTATTTATCATCATGAACTGGAACTTCTGGCCAGCACTACTTGGGTTGGCAAAACTATCATCAGAAAGACAGTGGCATGGTGAGCCTTAGCTGCCTGCCTGAGGCACACACAGGATTTCTGGAGTATTGAAAATAGCTGACAGTTGCTTATTATCTCTAGGCCTCCTGGGGTGGCCTGGGCTGACTATCCTAGGTGACCCCAACTCACTGACACACACATGGAGCTGGGCTTGAAGCTGGATTTCTTGGCACACACCCCGGTGGTCTTTTCCCTCAGGCTGCTTTCTAAACTTTTGTACCCAGTCTTCCCATGCCCCCAAACCACCAAAGGTTTCCCACTCTCTCCAGGATGTATCTTCTTCCTGGGCCTATCACTTAAAAGGATCCATGATCCGTTACCTGCTTGCTTTTTTCCAGATTTCATCGTCCATCCCACCCCACAGCACTTTTTGTGTTCTCTCCAAAGTTCCTAGTGTCCCTTGAGAACTTTGCAAATGTCAGTGCTCTGACTTGAGACACCTTGCCTTCCTTTCCTATCTGGAAATTGCTCTTTGCCAGGAGGCTTTGGCCCTTAATTGTCTGCACCACTCACGTGGCCCTTACCACTTTCTGCCTCACTGTATGGATCAGGTGGGCTCAGCTTTTGGCCTTGCAGTTCTCAGCCAAGGAGCCAGCATTTGAGTTCACCTCCCAGCCCAGTTCCTCTCTAGGCTTCTCGCCAAGACTTGCACATTGGAAGGAGCACAGAAGGGGTCCTCCCTGTGATGGTAATTAGGCACTTGTATTCATCACCGTGTCCTTGTTTTTCAGTTGGGGAAATGTCGGTGGGCCTGGGACTAGATCTCGGAATCCCTGCTGTTCTAGCTTTTCTTATTATCCCGGTAATACTAGTGAAGGTTTTAAGTTTTCTTTTATTAAAAAGACCAATGAAATAAATATCACTCCCCAACAGAAGAAAGCACTGTATGTGTAAGGAAAGTTCCCGGAGGCAGGAGCAGAATCTTTTCCCATTCGTCTTGCTGACCTTCCCCAGCACCACCACCAGGTGTGGGCTGAGAGCAGGGACAGCTTTAAGTAAGTTCACATTTTGGGGTCTGCTTCTCATCTGCCTGCTTAGGGAGGAGGGAAGAAGGTCCAAGGCCTCTATGCCGAACAGGACTCCCTGCCCATGGAGTGCGGCAGCTGGTGGCAAAGAGTAGTAATTTTCCCTCACATCTCCCTTCTTATTACTCTTTCTAAGAATATCTACCTTAAGGTGATTCAAGTGGATATATATTTACAATATATTGTATAGACATATAAAATAAATATATATAAAAACATTTAAAACAAAACATTTTATTTTAGGGAAAAAAAACACCCTCTGCTTTGCTAAACATCCCAGAGACAGACACACAGCATACCAAGCTTAATTATCAGCAAAGGCCGGTGCTTCCCTTCCCTATTGTCTTGTGGCTTCTACCTTTCTTTGCAAATGTTTAGGGATTGGTGTTTGCTCTTTGCTTCAACCACATGGATTTACAGAGAGAAACTGAGGCAGAGGGTTGAAGGCACACAAGCATGAGATTCCTGCCCCTAGTGCCTTTTTGTGCCCAAACAAAATCCACTAAGCAGCTAAATTAAGAGAATCCATAACCTTTCCATAAAGCTGGCCTGAGGTGAGCTCTGAAAATGGTTCACTATTCATTTGACCCAGAAAATCTCACAAAATCATGCAAACCAAGAGGTTCCTTTTAAGAACACCCCTGAAACTGCCCAGGCCATCAAGGGTATGTGTTATCTGAAAAACCCCCAAGTCTCTGAACGATGTCACTTTGCAGAAGCAATGCATGCATGCTGTTCTGTCCCTGTAACGGACAGAGGCTCACCCTACCTCTGCTGAAAGCCCCCTGCTCAGTGGAACACGAATGAGGTAGCTGGGCACGGGTTGAAATGACAAACAGTGACTCTTCTACAAATGTGGAGGTTTATTTCAACAAATACATTTGACTGATGCTCCTTGCTCATCAGGGTATGTGTCCATCGAATTCTCAATGAGACAAGTGAAGGCTGCTTTGTGAACGAAGTGAATATGGCAATCTCTGCTCAAGCAAGTCTTGGTCAATACATCATTTATACTCCTCCTAGCTCAGTAACCTTGCGTATGTAATGGGCTGGGGGAATATCAGATTGCTCATGTTCTATGGCTCTTCCTGGCTTCTCTGTATGAAAAATCCCTGTCCGGGGGAAGACCTGCAGTGAAGCGCTCTGGGGGTTGGGGGGAGTAGGCCGAACAGACTTCTCGAGAGGAACCGTATTCACTTAGTGTGTCATAATCTGGCGAAGGGGGAGAGGTGAAACAAGTGTGACCCGCCCTGCCTCTGAAGAAATACCAGGGCGAGTAGAGGGGTTTGTACCACCTACAGGTATGTGGACTTTTACTAATTACGGAAAAGAATCACCTGGTCCAAGACGAATCCAATTTTTACTTAAGCCGATACCAATGGTAGTGGATGCTTCTTTCTGGACTGAACATTGTTCCCCACCTCTTCCTGCCCTCTTTGATGGTGCTGAATGCCCGCACCTTGCACCAGGGCAGCATGGCCGAGGCTCCGAGCTCCAGCGGGCGGTCAGTGATGCATCCAGCTACATGGTGCCCGTGTGCACACACGGTTCCCAAAGAAGGGAGGCGGGGCTCATTCTTGTGTGCGTACTCTAGCGTTAAGGCTCAAAACTGTAGCTTGTACAAAAGTATTCATACCATTGCACTAAAATGTCTTAGTGATTTATTTCCCCGTTGGTCATCAGGGACAAATGCAATTAGCTGCACCGTAATAACTAGATGCTATACCAGCCCTGATCACCTGCCACTCTTGCTTTAGGAACACCAATGGGGGAATCCGTAAACTCTTTCCTTCTTGAATAAATGGGTTGTTGAAAATAAACTATCTCCACCACTGGTGAGGAGGCCCCTGCTGCCGGCCAGGGAGGGACCAGTGAGCCTGGAAGACAGAGCACCACGATGGAGTTGTAGATAATCTTAAGGTCATGTGGATTCTCTGTTCCCTGGAAGCCTGCTCACACCGGGGAAGGCCAGTTCCCGGTGCTGACAGCAGAGACTTCACCAGGGTCCTTTCAACAGCTGTGGGGAGACCAGCTGTACCTGCTGCTTGTGGACACTCCAGGAGGAGATGAGACCCAGAGGGAGTAGGAGAGTTGCCCTGGAAATAGAGCTGAGAGACTCCGTAGGCACTAGTAACCTTTTATAACTATCAAAGCTCCAGGCTTAATAGTAAGTCCTAAAAGAGAGAGACTATCCGGCCCCCCTCCCTGTGGCATGAGTAACTACTTGCCATCAGCGCCAGAAGGGGCCATTCCCCCAGGCTCCTTTTTGGCCCCTGCTCAGGCTACTGCACTGCCTATGTGGCTCCCAGCAGGTGCACCAGCTGGGTGAGCAGGGACACGTAAGGTAGTAGTGGGTCAACCATCCTTCCATTTGTTCTAAGAGAATCAAACCCACAGTTTAGGCCCCTAAATCACCAGCATTGACTTGGTCTGCTTCTTGGATCATGGTTTTGCCCTCATCTTTGAGTTCCCACGGAGCTTGCAGATTTCACACTCCATGAAGAAGAAACAGTTCCCTTGGTGTGATTAAATTGGGAACTCTCCTGTACCTAGTGCGTACCAGGTTGAAGGTGGAGGTAAAAAAAACAACGGACTTGAGGCTTCCTCCTCGCCCGAGCCCTCCTCTGCTGCCTGTGGCTGCAGGCTCATGGGGCCAGGGGTGAGGGAGGGCTGCTGACTGCCCGGAAACACCTCCCATTTCCCTGCACTGGGACCAAGGAGCTGTCAGGCCAGCAGCGGCCCTGCTTTTGTGTAGTGAGACCTCATGGTACAGCTTGTACCCTTCATTGCCTTCTCAGGTCCTGGCAGGGACAGAGAGCTGTAGTCACAGACAAGGTAATAAATACTGAATGGGATGGGTGTGACCGCTGGGGGCTCTGTGACCCTATATCCCAGTATGTCATGCATAACCTGAAAACGTTCAAGGGGAAGCAAAATGCCACTTGGATTCCAGGGCTGGGTCTCTGGTGCCTTCGGCGGTAAGAGGCAGCTTTTCTCCAGAGGCAGGGCGGGGACGGGCAGGAAGCTCTTCCTACGTTGAAGGGGAGTCCATCGTGGAGAGGATCCGCACGACCTCTGCTCGCTGTGTGGGTGAGATGTGCTGAGTCATGTGGACGATGGAGTCCATGGCAACCTCGGGATTGGCCTGTACCAAGCTGAAGAGGAAGATGGGGGACAGTGAAGAAGAGAGAGGGAGCAGCGTCTAGATGAGGGAAGCTTAAGAGCCGTCTGATAACATGCTGACAGAACCCACTGCACACACTTTGGCCACCACCTCACCTCATCTGTTCTCCTACATGAAAAAAGTCCCCAGCAGCAAGGCAAGTACAAGATGGACCTGACACGTTTTGCTATGTCAGAAAGTAAGGAATTACTTAAAAACCAAACACCCCAACAAAAGCAATGGGGGGCATGTCACAAAGAAAGTGGAACCCACACAAAGGTGCTTCCACTGGCTAAATCTGGGACATTTTGGGCATTCAAGTGAAATAATGAACTGCAAATTATTAAAAAAATAGAAATTCATGATCGATGTAGACTAATGAATACATACATGACTAGAGGAAGAGAGACGACTTTTTGCTTACAGGAGAACTGGAATGGGTACGGTGGAGGACACAGAGTTGGGAAGTTATCCTTTTGCAACCTTGCTGTAAAGACTGGATCAGACAAGAGCCTTCCATGGATGCTAGATCTAGGTGGAAATCCTGCTGAAGAACAGGATATCTGCATGGCCTTCAAGTGTCTCCTCACAGACTGATTGCTTATTAGGTGCAATGGGGGATATCAGTAATTATGCAGTGGAGAAACTGAGTAGCATCTTGACCAGGTGATTCTAACATCAGGAGGGGCAGATGACATGTCTCCAGAGGTGGTGCCCTGTGAAGGCCCCTTCATGTATATAATATTCATGTATATGGAGAATGTATAACCTGAATCTAATCATGAGAAAACATCAGACAAAATCAAAACGAGCAATGTTTTACAAATGGTGGATTAGATATAAGCTTCTATCAATGTTGGGGCGCCTGGGTGGCTCAGTCGGTTAAGTGTCTGACTCTTGACTTTGGCTCAGGTCATGAGATTGAGCCCCGCATTAGGCTCTGTGCTGAGCATGATCCTGCTTGGGATTCTCTCTCTCCTTTTCCCTCTGCCTCTCCTCTGCTCTCTCTCTCAAGAAAGAAACAAAACTTCTGTCAATGTTAAATGTACTAAAATTGATCCTACTGTGGTTATGTAAGAGAATATCCATATTAGCAAATACACACTTTAATATTTAGGATAAAGGGCCGTGATGGGCCATGATCTGTGTAACTTATCCTTAGTAGGTGTATGGGAACATGTATCTGTGGGAAAGCAAGCACACTCACAAGTGATAAAGCAAATGGGGTAAACTGTAAATAATGGGTCCATCTGAGTACAAATTTGTCTTCTGCACTGACATTTACAAATGTCCCCAGCCGTCCCCACCACTCATCCGATGGAGAATACTGAAAACTCTTGGCTGCAGGAGGGGAGGAGGTAGTTTCCCACGATGCTGCCATGGAATCAGCTTTTCTCACAGAATCATTCATCCAGTCAGAAGATCTGCACTTTGAGCTAATAGTTGGGCACAATGAACTAAGCCTTCATCTAGCGGAGATTACTAAGTGCCTTGGGACCAGGAGCTGAGAAAGAATTGTGTTTCAGGGTTCTATTTTTATTGGAGGGTCAACTACAGTGGTCTCAAACAGAAAAAAACCCCCACAAAGATTGTAAGGCACCACCTCACGATTTGTTCTTAAATCTTTGCTCCTTCCAAGGAAGCGAGCCCAATTTCTCCTACAGAAATCCCCCACTGTGGGTCTCACCTGCGGATCTGCTTGAGAACATAGTCTCTGCTGATATATTTGATGTTTTCCTCGATTACTGAGCGAACGCCATCTTCCTCGGTCAGCTGTTTCTCCAGCCACTCCACCAGATCCTTGTTATTGTCCCAAACGTAGGCCTGCAGACAGACAACTCTTGGTCAAACACCAGGGGCCAGGCCAGGCTGGACACCCCGATTGTTCATGATCTGTAAAGTTCACTCCAACAGCTTGCTCATTGTAAAATAGTTATTCACGATTCTCCACTATTGTTGGCATTGTAGTGGAAAGAAGCCTCAGGACAGGAGCTGTCCTCATTCTCTTTCCTTCTTTTGGGACAAGATGCCTCTTGGGCCCCTGGAGGCCTCAGTGCTCACACTGACTCAAGTCCTATCATTCTAGGGCTCTACCTATTCCACAAAGCCTGAGAGAATGTAATCAGCTGCTGGACTTGAGAGAAACGGTTAAAAGCCCAAATTGTTTAGTCAAGTGCTGATTGAGGGGCACCTGCCTGGCTCAGACAGTAGAGCGTGTGACTCTTGATCTCGTGGTTGTGAGTTCAAGACCCACATGGGTGTAGAGTTTACCTAAAAAATGAAAGTCCATGTCTGTTTAAAAAAAAAAAAATTAAGGGGTGCCCAGGTGGCTCAGTTGGTTGAGCATCCAACTCTTGATTTCTGCTCAGGTCATGATCTCAGGGTCGTGAGATCGAGCCTGGGGTCCAGCTCCATGCTCAGCGCAGAGCCTGCCTGAGATTCTCTCTCCCTCCCCCACCACCCGTTTATGTGTGCACTCTAAATAAATAAAATCTTAAAAAAAAAGAGATTAAAGGGCGCCTGGGTGGCTCAGTTGGTTAAGCGACTGCCTTCGGCTCAGGTCATGATCCTGGAGTCCCGGGATCGAGTCCCGCATCGGGCTCCCTGCTCAGCGGGGGGTCTGCTTGGTCCTCTGACCCTATCCCCTCTCATGTGTTCTCTCTCTCTCATTCTCTCTCTCTCAAATAAATAAATAAAATCTTTTAAAAAAAAAAGATTAAAATGAAATGTGTCTTTTCTGAGGAAGTGAGCCACAATTCTTAAGCTGGCAGATGAGCTGCCCGCTTATGGGAGGCTCTTTCAACGAGGCATGGAGGGGGAGTCTTGCTGCTAGGGGAGAGCCGCTAGGTCAGAAACCTACCCCCCATTTTACTTTTTATGAGAATATTCCACAGGGGCAAGGCGTCTGTAACCCTGAAAGTCTCAACAAACCACCTTGTGCCTCCTTTTTTTCGAGATCATTTAGCTGAGTATTTCCTAGGTAGTTGACTACATAATAATTCAGGAGTGTGTTAGAAACCTAATAGCCTTCTCCTTGCTCTCTTCTCCTCTCATTTTCTTTACAAATCATTTAGGAATCGTTTTGATAATGGTTTCCGGAAAACCAAGTACCACCATTAGGGCTCATTCATATTTATGTCATTTTGTTTGGGTAATTAAACACAAAGCTCGTCATTTAAAGGTGCGCTATCCTTCTCTGTTATCACTAACGAAGTCAAAGTCAGAATGACAATGAGTTTGGTGCTATAATTTAATAGGTGGGTGCATCAGGGACTCTCGGAGGCTTTGAGGCTTGAGATGGGGCTCAGGAAACCTGTACACAAGCAAGGCACCAGAGCACGGCGGTCACTCCAGGACCCGCGAGGCACAGAGGGAGTGTCTTCTTCCCACCCTTCAAGGGCAGCATGCAGTTAGAAACTGAGCGCGGTGTGGTGTGGTTTTCTAACTTTCTATTTCATGCCTTCAAAAAGGATGGTTTCTTGCAGACTCTCACTTCCTCATCTCTAACTTCGCTGGTGAGTTAGCTGTGACTGCTTATTTATTAAGTCATGTGACTGACTTCCACATTTCTAAAAATTCTTATGGAGTCCTTCACAGTTGAAGGATTAAGGAGCCCAGGATTAAGGGTCAGCAGTGCACCCTTCCTAGTTCTTTTATGCAGAGTTCTCTTTCTGGCCCCCAACGTGCCCACTTTGTTTGGAATAGCGGCTACAAAGATCAACTCTCCTCGTCAGGGTGGGATGGCCAAGCTGGTGTCAGCCCGAGCCTTGGTCAGGACTCTGCTGCCATCTCTGGGGCAAGGGGCAGGGAAGCGTCTTGTTCTGAAGGAAAGGAGGTGCTACGTCAATCTCTCCTGACAAAGTGGGTGGGTGGTGCTGTTTTCCCCACGATGCAGTGGTCTCTCTGGCATCCCAGCCCTGTGCACCCCACACATAGGGACTGGATACCGGGACTCTTACCCACTGCCACCGAACTCAGACATGTCCATCTCTATCATTGGTAATTTATAGACTTCTCCATGGCTTGAGGACTTATGCACATGCCCTTACTTATGCAGATTTTGGGGGTTGGAAAAAACAAAACAGTGAATGCTTCTTGGGTTTCAGAATGGGAAAAAAAACAACAACTAGATTTACCCAAGAATCCCAAAGCCTTTAGTTTAGGAGAATATTTAATACTCTTATTAATCATTTTTAATCCATTTGCTTTTAATTAAGAAACAGCATGATGCTTTCCTATCAACATATGCCAGGGAGCAGATTAATTGTGGCTTAAGATAACTCTCCTTGATTGGTGTAATGTATTAGCTAACGAGATGCCTGCTTCTAACGATGCTTAGACACTATGCTGGAAAGCCAGCTACCCTCTAGAGAAAACTCTTCTGCCTTCCCCTCCGGTAGCCACAGAATATGCTAGGTGTTTAAATTAAACATTTAAAAAGTTCCGAGACAGGATTAAGGCAACACATTCCAAGTTTTGGAGTTGAGGCTCTCAAAAACGGCCCCATGTATGAAAGACTTGCTGTTCGCTCAAAATAGAACTGGATGACAACCACCAAGCCAAACCTCAGTAAAGTTTCCATCACAGCAGAATACACCAAGGCGAAGGGGTCGCAAATCCTAGTCAATAGCATTTGTAGCAAGAATAAACAAACATAAGCACCCAGAGTGCCACAGGGTTTTCTTAACGGGGCTGGGAGGGTTTAAGGTACTGCTGTGGCCTGAGATCACCGGGAAAGAGCGAGGCTCCCTTCCACAGAGTTGGGGGCTACGGTTCCTTGTCTGCCCCTCCTAGAACAAAGATGTAAGACTCATCATTCTAGCCATCCAGAAGGACAGGCCAACCCTATTCCCAGAAAGAAAGCCCTTATCATTTCCCTCCTTAAAATTATGAAAACATGGCTGATTATTCCCAGTGTTCCAGTGTGGATTTTAAAAGCAAGTGTGAAATGCTGGACTGTTAATCTCATGACAGGCCTGGGCTCGTAAGTCACCTGTCTCACACTCATCCCAATCAGAACATTTTAATACTAATAAAGTATTGATAATTAAACATCACAACACTAGGCCTTACAATAAATGTTCAGCGGATGCTTTATCTTTCTCTGCATCAGTGGATAAGTATCTCAGGCACTATGCAGTCTCACTAATTGTATGTAGTAATTAGTCTATCGCACAAAATCTAAATGACCGGTTTAGAAAGTTTCCTTTCTAAGTATTGGATAGCTGTTAAGTCCTCCTTATTCAATGTACAGGAGGACCAGAGAATGACCAGGGCACTGTCTGATGGATGTGAGTCCTAATTACCATGCCCTGTAAATAACTCATCTTGGGAGCTATCTGGAGACCCCTCCGGCAATGTGATTTTTTTCTGAGGCTTTGGAGTAAAATAGCAAACAGCCATGTGGGCTGGGGTGGCCTGTGGACCCCGTCTCCTCAGAGCTACTCCAGTCTCAGCCCCACCCAGGGCCCAAAACATGTTTTCTAGGTTCTGCCTTCCCTCCTCCTTCCCTGGCCTGAAATCAAAAGTTTGGTGCATGAGATTCGTCCAGGGGTAGCTTGAGGCTGGGCTTTGGGGACAGGGGAAATCATATAACCCTATCACTGGTGCTTTCTCCTCTGTCATCCTCACAGGGGCCTCCACTGACTGACCATCTCGTTTGGAAATCCAGAGTACAGTGAATGGGTGGTAAATGATCTGAATCATAAGAACGAATTTTGGCACCCTAGATTACGGGTAAGTTAGAGCAAACCACATCAAAGCACACGCACTGAGAATAGACTGTGCTCAAGACTCCTGCCATGATCACGAAGTCACACGTCTGTAGCTCTCAGTTTACCCTCTGACGTGTGCTGAGCTGAGAGAAGAGGAGCAAACGGGCATCTCGAGTGTCTACTGAGTGCCAGGCACTGTGCTTCATATCTTATTTATCATGTCATTTAAAACTCACCGAACCCTGTGAAAGAAACATCTTCTCTATTTTACACAGGAAGGGACGGAGGCTTAAATAAATACCATGTCCAAGCCGGCAGGGCTGGGATGCACCACATTCGTGAGATTCCGAAGACCACGTTCTGCTCATGGCCCCACACAGTTCCCATCTCAGTTTCTACTACTGGGGCTTGGGGGGAAAAATCAGTCTTTGAAATTCCACATACCTCAGACTGTGGATCTAAGAATCGAGACAGAGAACCTACCTGCACAACAGACACGCACTGTATTCCTATGACCCAATTTAAACTGAAATTCTTGGTACTGTTTTCAGGGAGCTGCAGTGATGCTTTGCTTCTCTCTGCAGCGAAGCCCTGAACCATAAACCTTACTATTTCCTACAGCAGGACTGTTCCAGTGGGTTCCCACAGAGTCCCGTGACTCCCGGGAACAGATTCCTCTATGGGAAACAAAAGAATTGCCCTGCTAAGTCACATAACATCGCAGTGTCTTCAAATTTTCTGTCCCTCAATCTCTTTCTTCAGGATGGAGATTAAAAAAAAAAAAAAAAAATTCTCTGGGACAAAAGAACACACAGCACGGCTCAGAGATGCCGATCACTAAATGCCATTCCCTGCCAGTAACCAAAGAGGATCAGAGGGTCACTTCCTGATGCAAAGCCAAGGTCTAGACTTGGCTGGTGTTTGCACTTGAGACTCAGTGCACAATATTTATCACTGTTTGAAGAACCAGTGGGGGGCGGAGGGGTGACATTTTTAAGGTTTCAAGCCATTCCCCAATACAGAGCCGATTCTATGCCAGCCCTTCAGAGGCAGCACAGACCGCTTCTGACCTGTGCAACACTTCCTTCTCTCAAGGGCGCTAGAGATTTTATCAGCCACCCCACACTCAACTAGTCCTGCTGAGCCTGCAGAATATGGAAGGAGGTTTCAAAGCCACATCCTAGCATCCCTGCCCTTCCTTTCTCTCCTCAGCTGTCCTCCTGGACTAAAGAGCTCAAGAGAATGCGGTCTTTTGTAGACGGAGGGAGGGAAGGAACAGCTTAAATGCCTGGGTACAGTTGGCTCCCAGTGCCTCAGGCAGCCTCCTCCTGCCCTCTGGGGCCAGGGTTGTCTCCTGCACTCGATTTCCAGCTGGGTCTGTGTATAGACAGCCCACTGTTCCCTCCAGCTCTACGAGACAGCAAGGACCTGCTTCTCTAGACGCACCATCCCCTGGCTACAGGATGCTAAGGATCAACTGAAGGGCCTATCCACTCGCTTCATGCTCGGAGGGAAGCTATTCCTTCTCCTCATCCTTGTGCTTACTGAGGCCATGCACGTCCATTACTGACTAATGTGGTAGGAAGGCGGTGCGGGCCGCTCCTGGCCACACACACACTCCATTTACCTAGCCGGCCACTCTTAACTGGAGAACAACCTCTTATTTTACACTTGCGTGACTTTCAATGCCAACTTCCACTAGAAGCTGCCAGTAGCCACTGACAAAATTGTCTCACTCAATTATGATGCCACAGACTGACCTTAACCTGAACCAGATGTCGCATAAGGCTGCGCTTGCCTGCTGCACATCTGAAATATTTATCTAAAGAAGCTTTTCAGTCGTAAAGAAATGGGTAGGCTTAACACAGAGGTGAATCTTCGAAGCACCCAGATTCACTGGCTTTAACAATGATGGCAAATCCTGGGAGTTCCTTCCTGAGAACAGTCGACAGAGACGTCAAGAAACACTTTGCAGGAAGAGGCTCAAGGGCTTGCCCTCCTTCAGCATGCTAACCCAGGAGGCACCAAATGTTCTGATCAACTATAAGGAAAAGACATTTTCAGCATATACTATCGATATTCTGATAAAATGGATATATGACATATATGATTTACTTTTAACCCATAATAAACTACCAATAAAGGTCAATTTCTTTTTCTTAATAAAAGTAAATAGAGAAATAAAAGTTCCAACTCTTTCTTCCCATCCTCTTATGGACTGTCTTGTGCAGCCCACAATTCCAGGGGCAAATGCTGGTGTCTCGTCAACCTGGGCTCAGACCCAGCCCAGCCCAGCCCTGGGGCCAGAGCACCAGGGACACCATCTCAGTGGGGGCACTGGTCCAAGCCCTGTGTCCTCTCCATGAGATCATCCCAAGAAGATGCCGGATTCATGGTTCCCTGCAGGCAGGGTGGAAATTTCCTTCCAGCTCAGATCTGAAACCAGAAGCTCTTCAGTTGAAGCCCCAGCACCTCCTGCCCAGATAACCATCACCTCTGATTAGGCTTCTTGCTCCTGACCCCCTATCCAGCCTCCTGAGCGGTCTTCTGCGACACAAATCAGAACACATCACTCTGCTGCTTTAAATACCTCAGTGGCTCCCCACAGACCGCAGTCCAAACCCTCAGCACACCTTCCACGGCCCAGCACAATCCCAATCTCTTGGGATCTCTTGCCATCTTGAAATATCTGCAGTGCTTTGGATGCATGATACTCTTGCTATCAGGCCTTGAAACATGTCATTCCTTCTTCCTGGAACATTCCTCCTACCTTCCCCCTACTCCTCACCCCCATCCCAACCTTTTCTGCTGGTTCATTCCTACTTTGTTTTCAGGTCTGCTGAGACACCACTTCTGGAAGTCCTAACTCTCCTCCTCCTTCCTGCAGAGTGGCTCAGGTGCCCTTCTCTGTGCTCCATGATGTCCTGGGTGTGCTATGTTTGATATCAGCCACACTGTTGTACATGACCTCTTGGCCAATCCATCTCTCCCTCGAGATGGTGGGCTCGGTGTGGATAGGAAGAACATCTGCCTCTGTCGCTTTTGGGGCCTAATGCAATGTCTGGTACATAGTAAGTCTTCAAAAAGGTTTGCTGAAGGACAGAACGAGCAGCAAAAAATGTCCTAGGACCTCTATCATGACATGTCTGTATGGGGAGGAGACAGGGCTGAGGCCTGTGGGCTTCCCTTCCACTCCTGCCTTGAGAGGCCTGGGGATCCTCAGGTGGGGATAAGGAGCAGAGCACGAAGGCTCCTCTGAGGGCATCCACCTACCTTCACGGTCCCTTCCACTTCTACAAACCAGCGCCGTAACATGGCCTGGATCTGGCCGTCAGTCAGCTCTGGGTTGGCGTTGTGGATTTTCTTTTTGACCAGGTCCTCCAGCAGGAGACGCCGCAGCCTCCAGTAGAAGAAAGTGCGGGCTGTCCTCCAGTCCAGGATGTCCTACGTACACACAGGAACACGCTCAGCCACCGCAGCCCCAAGCCCTGCGCAGTGCCCAGTCCAGAGGGAGCTCCACTGGCACAAAAACCCATCCTCTCTAGCAGGCCCCTCAGAGACTTAACAGCTGGCCAGCGCTCAGGCACCTGCCGCCGTCTCCCCAGGTGGGAGCTACAGCCCCCGGCCCAGGGCACTGCGCCCGGCCATGGCCCCGTCAATGCGAGCCCCACCCGAGGCTGGGATGTTCTGGCAGGGCGGCTGTGAATCTCCAGGTAATGAGACAGTGCGGAACTGGTTTGGAGCCGAATGGCTCAAACAACTTGCACGCAGGTCAGATGTGAACTGGCTGCTGCTGGAACCCTGACACTGAATCCACAGCTTTAGGACCACCCGCGCAGCTCTCCCCAGAGGAGCCATGTGAGACTCAGTTTCCCACCAGTAAAATGGAGCTTGCCTTCTGAGGGGTCCATGGCCATGTAAACCAGAAATCATTTTGGGCTGACAACGGATAAACAAAAAAAGGAAAAGTCTCTCCAAAAAAATTGAAAATGGTTTGATCTGCACAAGCTGTCTCAATCCAACCCTAACAGCTTCCTGCTGGTGAGTCTCTGTGCACGAGACATACGCTCGCTTGCCTGCTCGCAGGGCTCTGACAAGTCAGGGGAAGTGGCAACCGCTGTACTTACGTTAATAACACCCTTCTCCTGCATCCGGCCTGGTGTGTCGTGCAAGTCAGCAAACTGCACGGCTACCTGATGGTAAATGGGAATTAGGAACTCCTCCCGCTCCTTCAACTTGTTCTCCAGCTCCTTCCGCTCAGCTGGGCTTAGCTCTGGGGTGCCTGCAATTAAGTAAACCTGCCCGTCACACTCTGCGACGACCAGGAATCTCTCTGCACAGAAGCAGCCATAGTCATGGGAAGCTCAAAAACATCCCCCCACCCGACCCGCGCGCCTGTGGCCTGGCTCTCCATTGTCTTCACCACCTCTTTGCTGAGTAACAGAATTCTGTGAGATGCCAGACTGGTCCTTATCTTACCATGGGGAGCCCACATGTCCTCCTTTCCCTGTGGAGGTCACAACTGTAGAAGCAGCTATGGGAGTCCCCTTCCCCAAGTCCTTCTCTGAGCAGGTGCACACAACCGCCTGGGGGACTGTGTCTCTCACTGAGTCACAGCCAGGCGCCTCCTTCCCCAGGCAAGACACCAGGCCCGGGCCTGACTACTGTGAATGTGGGGCAGGGTGGGGAGCAGTCGCTACGCCTCCAGGCCCAGACCAGCAGCCCCTTCTCCCAAGTCCACACAAGTCACCCACTCAAGGACTCCTAAAGTTGCAAGCTGCTGTTACTCCACAGCTTCTAATCTCGGGTCTGAAAACTCTTAACCTGAAACCAGTAGAATGTACTCTAATTAGAGCCAGATCTGGGTGTCTTCTGCCAGCTCAACAGGTTAGATTAGCCAGCTTCCTAGTCTACAGCTGGGCTGCTACTGCCAGAGCCAACCCCTGACCAGAGAGAGAAAGACATTCTAGTTCTTGGGCTAAAAGTGAAGGAAGAAGGGAAAAGAGAAAGGCAGCCTACAAATCCCATTTGGATCACTAAGCTTCTAAGCACCCAGTACCCTCATTCAACAGATTCCTGTAAGAAATCTGGAATTCCTTGTAACAGGGAGGAGCCCCCTCCCCAGACACCCCCCACCCCGCCCCGACTCCTGCCTTCAGTCAGTAGCGTCCCAGTAGAGGTGCTGCTATGTTATGCTTTCCTTCCTAATTACTCTCAGAAGGGACTTGTAATCAATACTGAAAATTTAGCTGCCTGCCTAGTAAAGAGGAGTAAGTCTAGCTGAAGGAGCAATAGGTGACAGCCCCTGGTGTTGGGGACAACCTGAAGTGCTTTGTCACCAAAGCTGACAAATAAATACATGACCACAGGTGATGGGTTGCAGAAGAGAAAGGTCTATTTCAGGCATGTCTGTCTGGAAACAGGCCTTGCTTTTTATGCCACTATGAATCATATGCCATAAACAGCCTTGGGCTGCTGAGTGAGCCGTAAGTATTATAGATAAACACATGTTAATAGAACAGGGATGTAGCCACAGGACCCAGTTTCATTTTTATGAGGTTTTTCAGATGCCTACCTCCACCTCCTTTTTTTTAAGCCCATCACTACTTGAAAACCACGAGGAAGAGAGCTGCCGGCTATCTCCTCTTGGGCTCTCACACAGAGGGCAATCGTTGACCTATCACACTGGGGCCCTAACACTCAGCAGCCTTCTTTCCATGCCAAGCAGAGCAGGGCTATGGGATGAGATGAAGGCCCATCCAATTCTGGGGCGGCTCTGCCTAAAGAATCGATGGGAAGAGAGCCAACTGATTTCTTCTGAGGTGAGATTATCTCAGTTGTAACACCCTAGACAGGGAAGCAAACATTTTTCCTTCTCTAGTAAGAGGAACCCAGACTCCTTGGAGAAACAGTGGATGATTCCAGGGCTGGGGCAGGAAAAACAGAAGATGAGCCTGGAACATACGGTCATAAAAAGCAAGACCACACTCAAGTGATTGGGATGTGTTAAAAGGACATAGGAGCCGGGTTGAACGTGTTCCCACTGGCCAAATCTGGGACAGTCTGAGTATCAAATTTATCAAAAATAGGATGATATTAATTACCAGAATATTTATGGGATGAAATAACCTGTGAGTCCATCCTAATATAAATAATTAAATAGGGGAAGAGGGAAGGGAAAGTTCTCCCTTCCAGCAGAATAATAATTAATATATGTAGAAGGAATGATGGAATTAGAAAACCACCATTTTACCACTGTCACAGCAATTGATTCTGCCAAGAATTATCAACGGATACTAAAACTAGTGGGTGAGAGTTTGATGAGGAACAGAATATTTACATTGTCTCAAAGTATCCCCTCACAAATTACTATTAGCCAACAAAACCTTAAACAAGTAATCACAATTACCATCAAGAATAGGAAAAACTGACATATGCCTCCTGATATGATGTCCTGATCATAAATAACACTTCTGCAATATTCCTGCCAAAAATGCGTTATCTGAATTTAACCATGGGGAAATATAAACCAAACACAGATTGAGAAACATGCTACAAAAAAGGGGCCTGTGGTGCCTGGCTGGCTTGGTCAGTGAGCATGTGACTCGTGATCTCAGGGTCGTGAGTTCAAGCTCCATGCTGGGTGTGGAGATTACCACAACCAACTGGGTGGCTCAGTTGGTTAAGCATCTGCCTTCAGCTCAAGTCATGATCCCAGGGTTCTGGGATCGAGGACCACATCGGGCTCCCTGCTCAGCAGAGAGTCTGCTTCTCCCTCTCCCTGCCGCTCCCCCTGCTTGTGTTCTCTTTCTCTCTCACTGTCAAATAAATAAATAAGATCTTAAAAAAAGAAAATCTTACCCCACCCAAAAAAACGTGGTCTGTATTTAAAAAAAAAAAAAAAAAGTCAAGATGATGACAGGCTAAATAACTGAAAACAGGCTGCAGTGTGTGGTCTAGGGTTAGATCTCAGATCTAAACCACAAAAAAAGAAAAAAGTCTATAAAGGACATTATTGGGACAACTGGTAAAATCTTGATATGAATCATGAATCAGAGAGTAGTATTGTATCAATGTTATAGTTCCTGATGTAGATAAGCGTCTTGGGTTACATAAGAGAAAGTCTGTGTCCTTAGAAACACACACTAAACATCTATGGATAAAGGAGCATGATGTCTACAAATGACTGTCAGATGGTTCGCAGAAACTGTGTGTGTGTGGAGAGTGCATAAGTAAGCACATGTACATGAGCACATGCAAACGATAAAACAAATGGGACAAGATGTTACCAACAGGTAAATCTAAGAAAAAGGCATCACAAGTCCTTTGTACTCTTCTAGTAACTTGTTTGGTGAAATTATATCAAATGGAAAATTAAAAAATAAGCCAAGCTAAAAAAAAAATGTTTTTCCTGGCTCCCTGATGCCTAAAATCAGAAGTCAAAGTTAGTATTTGTGGGGTATGGGGCACTATTCTAAGTGCTTTGTATCTACTAACTCGCTTAATCCTTACAACCACCTTAAAGCTGGTATTCTTACTATTCTCATCTTACAGGTGAGCAGACTGAGGCACTGAGAATTTATGTCACTCACCAAGGTTACAAAACTAGCAAGGGGCAGAGCCAGGTCTCAGATACAGCAGCGTGGCCCCCAGAGATTTGGGACACTATGTTATCTTGTCTCTTCTTGCTTACTTGGGCCAGAAGACAAGGAAGTGCTTCAGTAGCAGAATCTCGTTCATTTCAGAAAAGGCTAAATGATGATGGCAGGCTCCTGGCTGATACAGCTGAAGTTCCGTCTTAGTCCCATTCCATAACTGAGACCAAGACAACATCTCCAATAATTCCTGCTCTGTAGATCAGACAGTTTCCTAGGCATGCCTAAGATTTTTTTTTTAAACTTTGTCCTAATATTTTAAAAGATTTTATTTATTTATCTGAGAGAAGAGACAGCATGGGTAGGGGCAGAGGTGGAGGGACAAAAAGACTGCCTGCTGAGTGGGGCTCAATCCCAGGACCCTGAGATCATGATCTGAGCCTAAGGCAGATGCTTAACAACTGAGCCACCCAGGCGCCCCTGTCCTAATATTTTTGTAAACACTGATCATCATATTTACCACATTACATCTGTTTATGAGATTATCTCCTGAATCAGCCATGTTTGTTGTATCGTTTCTTTATATCCCACGTCCCTAAGACAGAATGTGGCCCATAGCATTACTCACTAAATATTCCTCCTTCAACTTACTTTACATTCCACTCACCCACCTTCATGTTGATATGAACACAGTATCATTTGTTTGCACCGTTTCAGAACACCCAAAGTGAAGTTTTAATACCAGCCCAGACCTGGTTCCTTGACTGCCAGGGTGAAACAGAAATGTTTCCTTCACTCTGTGAGTCAGGAGCCATCTCCCCATCATACAAGAAAGCAGTGGCTTTAGACTCGTTCATTACAGTGATCCAAGAACTTGTCCTCTTGATGCTGTTGGGAGTGTTTAAAAGTTCATGTAGATGGCTTCTGTGACACAGGACCTGGAAGGCACTGGGCCTTTCTCTCTACATCACTTGCCCCCCTATCCTCCTTGTTTTCCACTCTTCAGTCTAAGGCTGCCCATGACTTAGAAATTATGCACACTTCCCACTAAGGGCAGAGTGCTTAGTATCCTCTGGGAGTCACCTGACTGTATGTTTTACTCCTTAATCAAACGGTAAGTCTGAGCTTGGGAGAGCACGTTGTTTGCTCTTGTGTTGTAGAAATAGGCTAGTCCAGAGCCACATTCAGGCGCAGTGATGTTCAGGCCGGAGACTGGTTGTACAGTGGGACTTTAGTCTTACAACACTTCTGTACTGGTTGTCAAGGAGTCACAGCCCTGAGCACCCTGAGCATCCACTCTCCCACCACTCATGCTCCAACCCCAGAGTCCCTGAAACCTGCTGGGCAGGCCTAAGATTTAAGGGTAGCTCCTCATGTTAGTGTGAGATCAAGAACTAATACAACAGCAGGTAAAATCACAGCCCTGCCAGGGACAAGGGATGGCAGGAGCAAGGATATGGATGAATAGGAAGTTCCAGACCTTTAGAACATCCTCCCTCTGGGTAAATAACCAAAACTGTGCTTGCATATGTGTATATCTGTACGTGTACATATATGTGTACACCTGTACCATATAGAACACGTACCATTTACTGAGCACTTACTATGTGTCAGGCACCACACTCAATGCTTTCAGGATCACATAGCTCGTAAGTCACCATGCACAATTCAGACCTAGGTCGGGTCA